TACAGTAACTGGGGCACTGGGGGTTGATATGTCAGAATTAGTGAGACTGGCTCAGGACAAGGAAGGGTTCAAAGCTGCTGTACATAGGGTCACTATGTATCGCAGGCAACTCATCCAATAACATTCTTTGACAGGTTTGGAAGCAGGAATGGCATCCAGTTCTTAAATAACATGCCTCTGGAAACTCAATGAACTTTGAGAAATGTTGTAGAGAGGTTTGTTGATAAATAGTTGTAGAGGGGCTTCAGGCCTTTTGTTCATAGGGTTGCTATGAGTCATGCTCAACTTGAAGGCAATCAGCAACAACAAAGAAATAGCTACATGGTCAGACATGCCACCTCACATGATCCTGCACCGATTTCTACCTATCACTGAGTCCAATGTTGGTTGTAACTTGATTCACACACTTGACTCACAATGTGGGGTTTATTAGGGAAATAGGTTGGGGAGTGGGAGAGCCAGAGAACATCACACAACGCAAGCCCAGGTTTATTCCAGCAGTCCCAGATTGTTACTGTTAGGGGCCACCGAGTACGACCCATAGCGACCCTATGAACAAGAGGTTTGAACCTTGTCCTATTCTGTGTCATCTTCACACTTCCTGACACACTAGAACCCACTGTGGCAGTCACTATTTCAAATCATCTGGTTGAGGGTCTTCCTCTCCTTCCCCAATTATCTGACTTTCCAGGCATGATGTCCTTCTCCAAAGAATAGCCTCTCCTAACAATATAACCAAAGTATGTGAGACAAAGCTTTCTCATCTTTGCCTCCAAGAAGCACTCTGGCTGCACTTTCTCCAAGACATATTTGTTTGTTCTTTTGTCAGCCCATGGGATGTTCAGTACTCTTCTCCAATACCACAGCTCAAAGGCATCAATTCTTCTTCTGTCATCCTTATTCATAGCAAGTGATCAGAAGGACCATGGCCTCAAACAGACAAATCTTAGACCTCAAACTGACATCGTTACTCATAAATAATTTGGAGAGGTCTCTGACATCAGACTTTCCCAGTGAAAAACATCTCCTGATTTCCTGACTTCTGATACCAAGGCTGATGATTGTGGATCCAAGTAAAATGAAGTTGTTGACAGTTTCAATCTTTTCCTTCTCTCATGATATTGCCTATTGATGCAGTAAGAATTTCTGTGGTTTTTAAAAAAATATTTATCTATCTAGTTAATTTACAAAATCTGAATACATTGTTTTCAAGAACAAATTCTTTCAATTTCTCTCACACCCCCTACCCCCCCATCAAATTGTACAACCCCATGGTTTTCTTGATGTTAAGATGCAATCTATATTAAAGTCTATAGTGTTTGATCTTCTGAAACAAGTATTTCAAATCCTCCTCAGTTTCAGCAAGCAAGGTTGCGTCATCTACATATCTTCCTCTGATCTTGAGGCCACATTCTTCTTCATAAAGTCCAACTTCTCGAATAATTTGCTCAGCATACAAACTGAATAGGTATGGAGAGAGAATACAACTCTGATACTCTTCCTTCTGCACTTGAGCGTAGAGAAGCCAAAGCACAAGGAATAATTCAACATATTAAAGAGCTGAACAGAAGATTCCAAAAGGCAGCTCCGAATGGCAAAGCAAAATATTACAATGAAATGTGCGAGGAGCTGGAGTCGGAAAATCAAAAGGGCCGAACTCGTCCAGCATTTCTTAAGCTCAAGGAACTGAAGAACAAATTCAAACCTAGAGTTGCTATAATCAAGGATGCTTTAGGAGAATATTAAATGATCCGGGAAGTATTAAAAGAAGATGGGAGGAATATACTGAGTCATTGTATCAAAAGGAATTGGCAGACACAGAAGAATTTCATGAAATAACATAAGAGCAAGAGCTTATGGTGATGAAGGAAGAATTTCAAGCTGCTCTGAAGGAAATAGCAGAAAATAAGGCCCCAGGAATAGATGGTATACCAATGGACGTATTTTAGCTAAAAGATGCTGCCCTGGATGTGCTCACCAAGTTGTGCCAAGAAATCTGGAGAACAACCAGTTGGCCAACTGACTGGAAGAGATCTATATTTGTTCCCATTCCAAAGAAGGGTGACCCAATAGCATGTGGAAACTACAGAACAATATCATTGATTTCACATGCAAGCAAGATTCTGCTGAAGATTATCCAAAAACGACTGGAGCAGCACATCAGCAGAGAACTACCAGAAGTCCAGGCTGGGTTTAGAAGGGGTCGTGGTAATAGGGATATTGTAGCTGATGTTAGATGGATCTTAGCTGAAAGCAGGGAATACCAGAAGAATGTCTATCTATGTGTCATTGATTATGCAAAGGCATTTGACTGTGTGGATCATAATAAACTGTGGCTGATTCCGAGAAGAATGGGAATCCCAGAACATTTA